TTAGGGATGTTGAGGGTTTAGGGATTGGGGATTTTGGGGGTTATAAAGGTTTAGGGATGTTTAGGGGTTCGGTTTTAGGAATGTTGAGGGTATAGAGTAACGCTACAGCCAGGGATCCGAAAACGAGTCTTCCGATGGTGTCCGCTGAGCAGCTCAGGTGACGTACATGGACAGCGACATGTTGGATCGCTCCGATGACGGGAGGTGCCGACAGGGATGAAGGAATCTTACAGGTCTTGCTTAGGTGCCTAGGTACTAGCCTAGCCCCTAAACCCTAAATCCCTACACCCCTAAACCCCTACCTAGTTGAGGCTCGTCTCCACAGAGCTGGAGCTTATCCAGGTCCTGACAAACTGCCGTCGTCCGGTTTCTGACCCTAAATCCTAAGCCCCCAGTTTCCACCGCAGTCATAAACTTAGTCCTCGATGTCTGCAAGCAAGTATCTAAGTAGCTTGCAATGCAGGGGCTCGAGAGGTATTCGTTCTTGCAGCTCCAGTGGTACGGCCTTAACCCTACCCATAGGCCCCATAGTAGTTCCCTTCTGGGATTACCTAATAGGATTCTAAATATGAACCCCCTAAAGGAACTACTATGGGCCTATGGGTAGACATAATACCACTTTAACCCAGGCTCGAGGCCCCCAAGAGAAACTCGAAGAGACCCCTATCAAGGACTCCTTACAATCTCCCAGAGACTCCAATATCCCTTAATTAAGGAATATATACCTTAAACGATAGTAGGATCCCTAGTATGATTTAAGGTATATTCCTTAATTAAAGGATATTGGAGTCTCTGGGCTTATCAACTCACGAGGGGCCCTTCGAAGCCCAACCCGGTCCAAAACTGCGCCAGGCCGGCTGACCTACACGCCTTAAACGTCGCTAAAACCTTATAAGCCCGTGTAACCCAAGACCCTAAACCTTAAGCACTAGAAGCGCTCCATAAGCCTATAAACCCTACAACCCCTATATACACCTCGTAAAACCACATAAACCCTATATAAACCCTACAAAGACCTCAGAAGGAAGTCCTAAATAAACCCTATATAAACCCTACAAAAACCTCAGAAGAAAGTCCTAAACCAGGCTGCAGACCATGGTCCTCGAGGAGGGGCCGCAAAACACCGTGACCTTCTCGGTGACTCCTCGGGACGATGGCACTCTGGATGTCTTCGTGGGCACCATCGGCAGGACGCCGAGGTTTATATTAATATAGTGTTTAGGGCTTTTGAGTAGAAGGTTTAGGGTTACTGGGTGTTTATATAGTGTTTAGGGCTTTTGAGTAGAAGTTTTAGGGTTTAGGGTTACAGGGTTTTTATGTAGTGTTTAGGGCTTTTGAGTAGAAGTTTCAGGGTTTAGGGTGACAGGGTTGAGGGTGCAGGACGAACTCGTCCCTGAAGGTTTGGAGAGTGGAGGGGTTTCCGCGTCCGAAGCCCCTTTGAGTTACAGCTTCAATCTGGGTGGTTGTCAAAATTTATGGTCCCTTTTTGGGTCCTTATTATAATAGGGCACCTATTATTTAGGGTACCCCAAAAGGGACCATAATTTTGACAACTACCCATCTGGCTTCCTTTGATCTGCATCAGCCTCTAGCCTGCATCCTGATGTTAGGGCCCTAAACCCCCAAATAAACCTAAACCCTAAACCCTATAAACCCTAAACCCTAAACCGATGTCAGGGCTTGGTCTGTCGTGTTTTGAGGGTTGGCACTTCATTTCAGGGGTTTGCAGCTCTTCCGCAGATGAAGCTCCCTTATGATATGCCGCAAGAGCCAGGAACCCTAAACCCGAAGCCCCATAAAGAATACCCGAAGCACCGGTTTAGGGTCTAGGGTTTAGGGTTTAGGCTATCATTGCACAGGACACATCGCGAGCACCCGGTGTCCACCTGCGAACTCTTGTCGCGCTTCGCACAGTCCGGTCGGCGGCTGAGGGTAGGGGGCTATGACGTTAGAGTCGCTAGAAGGGTTTCTACAATTGATTCACAGGTTTTTTAGTTCTCCAATGTCTGACGACGAATGTTGCCTCGCTGCGAATCTGGCCTTGTAATCGACAATTCGCATGCGATGTTTTCCTTCGAAGTACTTGCAGTGTACCTTTTCGTGTTCCACCGTCACTCTTATCAAGTTTGGGTCTCTGAACCCGAAGCCGTGAACCCTAAATCCCAAACTCCTAAACCTGAACCTAAACCCCTCTAGAGTCTAAGCCCTAAGCCCCATTAGCAAAGGCGGCCCCTAATGAATTTGGAGAACAATCCAAGGAACCTTACCTCGAAGGAGCCTTGCCTGGCTCTGTACCCCAAGGGTCCAGAGGACCCAAGAATCAGGCACTCTTGTTTTGGATTTTTGGTGAACATTTGAGGGAGTGTAAGATCATGAGGTACTCGGAGCCTTCGAAAGATGACACGATTCTCGCTGCAAAACTCCTTGCCGCAGCCCGACAGCCCCCAAAACGTAAGCCCCGAATCTCGACTTAACCCTGCAACAGCCTGAAAACTAAACCTCCTAAATCCTAAAACCGAAACGTCCAAGCCCGCAACGCCCAAACCCCAAAACCCTGCACCCCAGAATCCCATGAACCCCAAACCTCCGTAGACCCCCCAGACTTGTAATAAAGAAGCCTTAGATAATTGTCGTTACTATTCCTAAGGGCTCCTTATTGTAATTATACTATCAAGGAACCCAAAACCCTATTCCGCAAAATCCTCAGGGCCTTACATCAATCCCAAAAAGCCTCGATCCAGAAACCCCTCGGGTTACTGTCCTAAGCCCTCAACCCCCTCCAGGCTGCACTCTTATGGTTCTTTTTATAATCTACCTAAGGGTTTAGGGTCTATAGGGTTTAGGGTACTTCCAGTCCTTCATTCTTACTATTCTTGTGATTTTACTTGTTATATTTCGATTCTGACTACTCATTCTTAGTATATTACTATCATTATTATTATTACTACTATTATTATTGCTATTATGCATGATTACTCCAAAGCCACCATTTCTGAGGCCTGACCGTTGCCAGCCGCGGCCTCCTGCGCGACTTGCCTCGGAACACACCACCGGGGCATCCCCCAGGACAGGGGGTTTTAGGGTATAGGCTTTGGGGTTTAGGGTTTAGGGTATAGGCTTTGGGGTTTAGGGTTCAAGTTTTTTCGGTTTGGGGGCTAGGGGTTCTGGGTGGATTTGGGGGGTTTACATGTTTACGCGGGTATGTGTTAGGGGGTTTAGGGTCTTGAGGGCGAAGCTGGGTGCTTGTTAAAGTTGCCATAGTAAGGAAACCATGATCCCTAGTAGCTGAACTTCAATTCCTTGAACCTAAGTCCTACACCCCAAACCCTAAACCCTAATCCAGCACCCCTAAATACCAAAAAAAACGCTGGGCTTAGTATTTAGCATTCAGGGGTTCTGGGTTTAGGGAACAGAAAACGAGACGGTTCGAGGGTTAGTGGTATTCGGGGGATCAAGGGACTCAGTGTAAGCAGGTTCGCATTGTTCTTGTCACTCGCCCCCTTGCTACGGCCCCGCTCAGAGACATGCTCGATGTAGTGGTCTATCTTACAATCTTACAAATTGTCTTTTAAATTATTCTACAACTCATCCTGCGGTAGGGTCTCCTGATCCCCTAAGCCCAAATCGTGAAGCCTATCCACGTAGGACTTGTGCCTAGACGCCTACTGCCTAGCAGGTATGTTCACGAGTTGGAAGTACACAGGGGCTGTTCTAACTGTTCTACATTGTTTCCTGTCGAAACATAGACTTAGCCCTAAGTGTCCAAGTGCCGAATAATTGCTCATATACTTTCCAAAAGGCTAAGCTACAAAACTACCATCCATACCCCAAATACCTACTAACTGGGTCTTTTGGACCCTTAGGGTAGTCCGTAAACTCTTCAACCCTGGACGTTTTAGTCATGAAGGGATCATAACCAAGAGGGTCCATATACAGTAGCATTATGGAATTCGATCCCGAAAGACCATCCCTATTATTATGGTTTTGGGGACCTAATGCCATAATGGTAGTATATATGTAGCCTCTGGGTACAGAAGAGCCGGAAAGCCCCGCAGGACTCGGACCCAATCAGCCGCAGCAGCTGGAGAAGATCCTCAGGCAAGTCTGTCTTCAGTGCCTTCGGGTTTAAGGTGTATCTAGGGCTTTAGGGTTTTAGGGTCCAGGGTTTAGGGTTTAGGGGCTTTAGTGTTTAGGGTTCAGGGTTTAGGGTTTAGGGTTTGGGGGTTTAGGGTGGTTTAGGGTTTAGGGCTTGGGGTTTAGGGAGGTAGAAGCTAGAAAGGGGAAGCATGAGTTTCTCCATGCCACGAGTTTCAGCACCAATCATCATGGTCGTGGGAGCCAACCCAAAACCATCAACCCAACTGTAAACACAAAGAGCTGAGAAACCCGACACCCTAAACCCCAAACCGTCAACCCAACTTTAAAACGAAAAAACTGAAGAAAACCCTACACCCTAAACCCTAAATCCTTGGGGAGTTGATGTTCTCCAGAACTCCCGACCTGAATTGTCGGAACCGCGCCCTAAGAGCATGGCCGTCATGCTTGGGACTATGTTTGAGCTGTCACGTGGCTTCATATAGGGGTTTAGGGTTTAGGGTTTAGGGGTTTAGGGTTTAGGGGTTTAGGGTTTAGGGTTCAACCGTCTCTTTGTTTCCTTCTTCGTTCCCACTAACTTCTACGATGACTGGGACCACTAACCCTGGGTGCATGTATGCGGTTTGAACGCGGCTCATAACCTCGCACTCACGAAACCGAGACCCTGATCCCGACTGCAGATGGCTGTGTCGAGGCTGTTCGCCTATGCGGTGTTCCGCAGGGCCCCTGCGGCAGCGCTGCTGGGACGTTCTCCGCACGAGTCCTTCCCGCAGCATGCAGCTTGACCTTGCAAGCCTAGCAACCTTAGACATGCGGTTCTGCAAACCCACTGACTGAAACGGGACCCTTTTTTTTGGGAAATGTAGGTAGGCGCCGATCGCCCCGCCGCTCCCCAAGAACAAAACGGCAGAAGCCATGAAAGATCCATGTGCAGAGTACTTCGGTGCACTCCAACTTCACCCTAGCGAACTCCGGACATCTAAGCCCTAAACCCTAAACCCCAAAACCCTGAACCCCTAAACCCCAAAAGCCCAGAGACACAGGGAAGATCGACCCAGGACCGATCGAGCCAATGCATTGGGACATTAGCACTTCGTTGTCCCTCGAATTCAGTTTTTTATATGTTTTACGAATCTAATGTAAGCCCCAATATACACCCAAGAAGCCATTTATTAGCAATACCTTGTTTTATTCTTGGGTTGTGGAGACTCATGGATTGTCGATCGGACCATTGTATTTAGTTCTCGGATCTTCGACGAGGATGGTATTCACCATCGCAGGTGCATGATCGGCCCGTATGCTGTGCATACTGGTAGCAGGCCGTTTCAGGAAGTTGCATGAAAGCACTGCTGGGGTGGAAGCCTGGACGAGCCGCATCGAGTCAGCGCACTGGCTGAGTGCGAGGTGGAAAGAATTTTCAACCACGACTGACAAGTAAGAAAGACATGCTGCCCCGCATGCAGTGCCTGCTGCTGCAGGATGGCGGTGTTTGACTGTAGAAAACACTGAAGAGTACAAGCAGGACTCAGGAATACTAGCATACACTCGGTGCGACAGTGTAAAGACGTGGTACCCTGAATCCTTTCAGGTGGCGCTGACAAACTAGCACCACTTTTGTATGAGCAGTTTGTGAGTGTGTGTGTATATATATTATGTATGCATCTGCATATGTAACAGGGGCCCGAGTTTCCTGAACTATAGCAGAACCAGTGCCTTATCCCTATGCATGTATAGTATAATGACATACCCCCAAACCCTATTCTTATTAGAGATGCTCCTGGGGCACAAGCATTCTTAAGAGGTAGTCCAGTGCGCGGTGGAGCTGCTACCAGCCAAGACCCTTGCAGCTCTGGCGATGACGTCCCAATCTTGGCGCCGCTTCTTTGGTTGATATCTGAGAGCTTTAGGGTTGCAGCCTCTACAGTAGGGTGTAATGCTCCAAACATCGTAGTGACCCTGTTGCGGTCCTGCGTTCAGCGGAACCGGGTTTGGTTCGTGAGGCCGCGAGGTGCATGACGAGTGTGGCAGGCACGCACTCCTGTCTTGGTGCACCGCACCCGCTCCGCTAAACCGCCTGCTTTGTAGCTGCGCCCCTGTCCTCCCGACTTATGTTGGTTGCAGAATCCAGTACATTGGCTCCATAGACATTGTGAATACTGTTCTCGCCAGTGCCGTGATCCTGTCGTCAGGCGTGTGGGCGCGTGTTGCATGCCAAACCCAAGGCAGAATTACAACTTGCAAGCCGCTCCGCTATACCAAAGCCTGACCCCCTAGCATGCTGTCCTTTAAGTGCCGCAGATCTGTCAGTAACTCTTAAATATAAGGAACCCTTAAAGCAACCTTATACAGGCGCTTATATTGAGTACTAAGGTTTTCTCTCCAACGACATCGCAATTCCGGCTCTCTCCAGGGGGCTGCCGCCAGTCTGCATGGTTCCTGCGATTTGCGGTCGATGTATTTTGGGTGTTATAAGTTCAGGTTTAGGATTTCGGGTGGACGGTTTAGGGTCACTCTTCCACGCATATTGGACTTTTACTGGACACCGCCGTGAGCTAGTATGATCTGCTTGGCCGTAGTTGATTATTTTTTGGAGCCCCTGTTGTATTGGCAATTACTGTCACTCCGCTCTTGCTTGTGGAGCTTCGCGTTCCTTTGGCAAAGCGTGCCCAAAGGCGAAGCACATAGGAGTTCTTACCTGGGGTTAGATAAACAGAATGACAAAAACCTGCGCGATTATCGTTGTTACAGTTGGCACTGCAGGGTATGCTTTGGCCTTAAAGTAATTAGTTCCTATATTCGTATTTTTGGTCCCAAGTATATACCATTTGGGCACATGTTGCCGTAGACATCGAATGATTAGGATGTCGAGCTACGTGGGGTCTTAAACCTAGAAGCCTAGAAGTGAGGGCGTGCTTTGGTATCCTGTCTTCGAAAGGCATTCTCTGTACATGTGTGTGTATCAAGGTTTCTGTACACTTACAAGTTACGCAATATATAAATATGTATACATATATATATATATACACATACAAATACATGTGTTTGTATACATATATATACACATACAGACTTATAAGTTCTTTGTATATATATATATACACACATGTATATGTACATCTGGGCACTGCCAATGTCATTCACCGAAGGAGTGGCTGCGAACTCCGGGACTGAAGGTCCCTACAGAGGCGAGGGGCGCCATAGCTAGAACGCCAAAACCCAGAACGTGCTACCAGCCCTGTACGTCGCAAGACGGCCCCAGAAACCCAAGCCCTAAACCCTAAACCCTATAAACCCTAAACCCTAAACTCCCTAAACCCTAAACTCTAAACCCTAAGCCCTGAACCCTAAACCCTAAACCCTAAACCCTGAGCCCATCCGATGAGCGAAGCAAGGCGACAGCTGCCCTGTGGTCCTCGGTAGCTCGCCTGCACATCTACATGTAATATAGGGGCCTAAAGCGCTAAATAAGTACCTATACTATTTTGGGGGTTCCTTATTATAACCATAGTAGAATGGGCCCCAAAAACCCCATTCTAATTATGAAGGCCTCTGTAGTATATGAGTTTCATCTGCACGAAAAGCTGCAGAGCCATGCCCATGCCTCTACAGTTCGTCATGCTTGACTTGGTCACGGCACTTGGTCCCACCGTTGTGGATGGCCGACAAGCACATGCTTACAACCCGAGCAAGGAATGTAGTTGTGGTTGCAAGCGTGGCTCCTCACACTACTCGTAGTGAAGGAGACATGATGTGGTGACGGTGCTGGTGATGGTGGTGATGATGATGTTGATGGTGATATGGAAGACGGCGGTAGTTGTGGTCAGGACTATGGGTGGTGCTAGTACGTGTTACTCACTACTCTTTGTCGCATTGCCATTCTTGCTAGCATGGGTAAGCATAGTTGTCCCAAGCCTGGAGCCCTTTAAACCCTCAACCCCAAACCTTGCAAGGAAAGTTGTGCTTTGCGAACGTTGTGGATGCACGCGCCGCTTCGACGCCTTCGGAGAGCGCTTCCCGGCACAACCTTCACCACGTACTCTTTCAGGGTGTAGCGTATAGGGATTACAGTGATCAAGCACGAAAAGCCCCTAATCCCTAAACCCTTTCGGACTATGCGCTTTGGGCTTTGGGGGCGAGGGGAGGTTTGGCTTTCCAAAGCCTTGGTCATCGCAGGACGAAGGACAAAAGTCAGTGTGTGTACTGCCACGATTGTCACTCCAAGGTTAGAAGTATGGGCCCCTAACATGGGCCCTTAGGGGGGTTCTAGGGTCACTTAAGGGTACATGTAGGGTATATAGTAGGTATATAAGGGTCCCAGGGTTAAGGGCCCATACTAGGGGCCCATGGTTTCAACCAGAGTCACCCGAGATATCTGCGTGTCCTCATTGCAGGTGTTCATCTGGGACTAATGTAGGAACCTTATTAAGAAACCCTGGCAGAAGGATTCATAGTAAAGTAAGAGCCCTCATAACGTCCTATATTATCAAAGAGCAACGAGATAAACATGCCCAGGAGATGGTGCAGCAGTTTAGGGTTTAGGGTTCAGGGAAACAGGGGTCAACAAACTCAAACACTCATATGGGCGGCACGTCTGGCAAGTTGGTGAAAGTTGACTTGTGCTCGTTACCTTACCGCCTTTGACTCTTCGACTCCCCAGTTCAGAGGCTTTTCAGGTGCTTGCTCGGGTTTGCAACTCAGTATGTCGGAGCATAGAGGATTAACCGCTCACCAGAGACACCTTCGTAAGCTCTAAATTTCATTCCCCATCTACTTTGTACTTGTAGTACATGATGCCCCAACAATGTCTACTATATACTCGACTTCAGGGCTGCATTGCAACTCTGCATCACAGCAGCTTACTTCGGTGTTTTGGTGGAGATGATATGAGGTCAGAGGTTTCAGAGTTTGTGCATTAGGGGTTTTGGGATGCAGACCCTGGTGTGTCCTCTGTAGTGCATTGGGCACCCCTACTTGGAGGGTAGGGGGACTTAGTAAATGGTCATTTTATAGACTTATAAGTACTAGAATCCCAATCAGGGTCCCTTTTACGGTACTTATAAGTCTACTTATTACCTACTTCCTAAGTCTCCCGACCCTCCAAATAAGCCAATGTGCCGAAGGCCACTGCTGGTGCGACTCCTGCTGGGAAGGTTGTTGGCGACCACGGCACGGCCCTTGCAAGGCTCTCGTTTAGGGTTTAGGGTTTAGGGCTAAACCCTAAACCCTAAACCCCTTACTGACTCTCGGGCTTTGGAATCTTCTTGCCAACCACTTTTCGGGCTGAGCCGTTTGTACTTTGTACTTACCAACACAGGGGAAAATTGCAGAGTGTGCTACTGCCAGAAATATCTGGTTCACTTGGGATTTAGCGGCTGAGCTGGACAAGGAGGAAAGCTTAGATTTTGAGCAAGTACTACATGCTACATTGTACGTAAGTATCGGGCCTGCAGAAATCTGACAAAAGCTCATTTTTGCTGCACCGTGATCGAAACAACAGACAGCTCAGCAGAAGGCGCTGCTCTCAGAATGATATGTCTTTGATCCTCCTGCCATTTTGATGGTTCACAGATTGTTCGCCCGTTGATGGCATCCGATGAATCCTGAAGTGTAAGAACATCGGCACACAAGGAAACCTGACAATTTTGGATGCAATACAAGCGGTTCGGTGCAAGCGAAATCGCCCAGTGTCGAGGGCTCATTCTACTCAATTGTGGAGGTTTTTGAATCGCAGAGAGTCCTTGTCCGGTTCTGGACACTTTGCTTTTGACCACTTGAAGGCTCCAACTTGTAAGTGTGCTTGCATTCATCCCACATGCAAACTGAACCAAGGATCATGAATGACCAAGACCTCATTTTCGGCACAACGCTCTTTTTCCATGGAAACTTGAAACCCAGATCCCTAGAGAGGTCTGTGGCTGCTCCCGAGCCTTCGACAACTACGGAGACCGCATTTGCTGGTGTGACTCCTGCGACTTGGACCTTTGTTCAGGACACCAGGCGGAAGTACCAGGGACATCGAAGCTTCGAAGTGACAGGTTTAGGGTTTAGGGCATCCCCGCGCTGTCTGCCAGCTGCTGATCTGACAGAAAGCTCCAACCTACCACCCGCGACCATGGAAGCGCCCACTATCGTCTATTGGCTCCAGATGAATATGATCATCTTTTTGCACCCTCTGAGGGAGAAGCCTTTTTCTCCAGGCACTGATCTCAATGCGTTAGTAATAAACAACCAGCACGCCCCGCAACCACATGTGGCGTCCTACTCAAGAATGATATCTGTGAAAGTCGTGTTTGTGTTAGGCTGGCCGGGCTGTCAAGCGAATGACATGGACGACTGTTCCTCGACAGATTTAGGGGCATTTAGAGATAATTCATAATCTTTGGTTATAATAGTCCCTAAGAAACAGCTAAAATTACAATTTTTGCTGGGGTCCCAAGTTCAGTATAGGGTACCTGACACAGGTTCCGGCCAGTAGGGGCCTCCTTATTTCCGGAATCTACCACTAAAGCCAAGAGCAGACGGACATGAGCTTCTGTTCAGAGCTCTCAGCACTTCTACTAGCTTGGAGCTCTTCGTGGTTTTTCCATTTTTCAGAGATTGCCGCCTTTTTTCTAAACCCTAAAGGTTGCAGGCTTGAGCGCTTGCAGGATTCGCGCATGGGGGACGTGGGCTTGCTGGTAACTTGCTTGGCTTAGATACCCCAGCAACTAGGCAAAGGGGAGGGGACCCTACATACATGTGTTTGTGTTTATATATATATATATATAAACAGAT